AATCCCCTCCCCCTCCCCTGAAGACACCCCGAAGACACCCCCAAAGATCTCTCCCCCTCAGCGACCCCCCTAAACCGGACAAGAACTCTGCACCGGCACCTCCGCACAAAGCTGCGGACTGGCGCCGTACGGGTTGTCGCACAGGGTATTGCACTGGGTGAACTCGGGGACAAACACCAGGAACTGGAAGTTGGGGAAGGGCAGCCGGAACTGCTTGGTGACGTCGGTGTTGGCGGGCGAGGCCTTGTAGCCGGCGCGGCAGGCGCAGTGGAAGCGCGTGCCGGTGTTGATGCACGAGGTGGTCACGTCGCAGTTGTTCTGGCCGGAGAGCGGGTTGCAGGTGCCGCAGATGGGGGCCGCGGGAGTTGGGTGCCTGTCGGGGAGGCGGTGGCTAGGAGGGCGGTTGCGAGGAGGGGGAGGAGGAGGGTTGAAGTGTACATCTTTATTGATTTGGTGGCGATGGTTGATGTATGTTGGGATGTATGAGTATGCTTGAGGGATGTGGGGGTGTTGGTTTGGATGTACTGTAGCTGGTGTGATTTGATTGAGGGGGTTCTTTGGTATTGAAGAGGCTTAAGTGATGCTCGTGCTGATGCTGATGCTGATGAGGAAGGAAATGCCTCGATTGATCAGGGCTTGGGGATAGGGGCTTATATAGGGCTGTCCTGGTGGCGGAGCGCAAGGTTGGCTGGTTGCAGAAACTGGGCATGGAGTCCTCAAGCACTGCCCTATGGATTGATTCCAAGGCAATGGGCCATGGCATGACATGACATGGCGGGTCTCGGGGGGAGGGGAGCCATGACATCGGTAAGTGGATCCTAAGATAGGGCTCAGTGTTACTATTCCCGGTGAGGCTCGTATAGCTCGGAGGCAGGGTCGTGCACCGGATACTGCTCAAACTCTGAACGACGAGTACAGCCCCCCAGCCCCTCCAACACACACGTCCTAGGACCCGGTTCCTCTGAGACAACAGGTTCTATCTTGGATGTGGGTGAAAATAGAAGATGTGATCCACCAATCCATACGCATATGGTTCGGCAACGCGGCCGGCCGGCCTGAATACGAGATCTATACCTAAGTGGTTGGGTCTTCCCTGTCCATCTGAGCTGGCAGTGCTCGTTGAGGCTAGGTAGATGTGAGACAGTGCAAGAGTTCTTGTAAGGAAGTGTTGGCTAAGAGTTGGAGCTCGCATCAGGTGATGTAGTATTTTCAAGCCGCATGTCTCTGATTAAGCTCAGAAGTACGCATGGACAAGCTGAGATAAAGAGCCCCTTCGTTTTTAGGATCTTGTTGGGCACTGCCTACGGGTTTCGCCTGTCCGCGTGACGAGTAGATGCCCAGGTAGTTCTCCATCAAGGACTTTTCGGATCATGGCTGTCTCATGGAGACAAACTGGTACACAAGAAGCTGACTCGGGCTCAAGCTCATAGTCGAGAGTCTCCTTGACTGAATTGTTGTCTCTCATGGACACGTTCTGAAACCGGCGTTGGGAACTATTGAAAATAGACTTCATAGCTCTGCTTTACAGCAAAGCGGTGGATAAATGTACCCTGATAGAAGACCATCTGGCTTGCTTTGGGGTAGGATACTGTAGTAACTAGATTCGACTACTGTGATTTTCGGATTTGCGGTTGAAGCTACGCACGTCAGGCATGTTAGATGCGAACTAAGCCCTGTGGCTCTCAAGACGAAGCCAAATCCTGTTGTACAACCATTTCTCATCTGAAGCAAGAACGCATGTAAGCCAAAAGCAGACACCGTTCATCGACTAGTCAAAGTAGAGTTCTGTGTTCCCGTGTCTCGGCCGATGGAAAAAAAGTCAATCGCGCATATACCCCGGATTTGGGGCGGGATATGCATTCAGCCTTGCCCCAAATACGAGCTTGTTGCAGACGTCACTTTGACTACCAGGGAGCAATCCATGTATTTATAGACAGGATACGTGCCAAGACTCCATAGGGAATGAATTTCATTATGCCATGACCTAGCACAGCTCCCCAACCGCAAGCTGCCGACTAATATTACAGCCTCTTGGATGCTAACCCTAGCAGAGACATCCTCTACAGGTGCATTTTGGACGCTTCGGGCTCACCAATCAACTTGAGAAAGCTCTCGTGGACCTCATCCGTCAAATCGCTGGCCTGCATACTGCGGCCCTTGGCAAGGAAAGCTCGTCGGGAGCACTCCCGCGTAATCGAGCTACCAGCAAACGCAGCCAGAAGCAGGGTCGTGCAAGGCGACATCCGCTTATCCTCGGACTCAAGCTCCGCCCGAATGTCTTCCTTGGTCTGCGCGTCCTTGGCGTTGTCTTTCTCACCGGAGTCCCAGAGCCCGTCGTGGTAGGCGGCTCTCCAGGCGAGGAGCGTGCCCAAGGAGCCCGTCAACGTATCGCCTTGGCCCCCGCTGCGCTTCAGGCCTCCCTGAATATCGGAGATGAGCGTCGTGATCCCGTTCGAAATCACATCATGGGGACCCTTCTGGATGATGGTGACACCACCCAGCGCATTGGACAATCGCTCACAGGCCTTGGATTCCTCGCTCGTCCGGTCCGCGCCGTCCGACTTGGAGTTGATTTCCGCGAGACTCGGCACGTCGATCCCCAGCGCTTTGGCCAGGCGGCTGAACTCGTTCACGTTGGGCGTCAGAATGCACTCTTTGTACCCGCGCACCAGATCCGGATCCTCGGTCACGAGGAGGAGCCCGTCGGCGTCGAGGACAAAGGGAATCGAGCGGGACCGCGCTTCTTTCATCACCTCCGTCACCACCTTGAGGGTGACCCCGTCGCGACCCAGGCCGGGTCCGATCACCAGGCAATGCAGCCGCGAAAGCATGTTGATGATTGGGCTAGCGAGGGATGGGGCATCGATGGACTCGGGGTCCTTGACCGAGGCGCTGCTTGGCAGAATAGGGTGGACCATCAGGTTTGGAGAGTAGGTTTTGATGACCTAGACGAGCGACATTATGAGCATTTCCCCCTTCCCCGCTCCCATGAAAGCTGGGTAAGATCTATCAACTTACGGTGGCTGCCGATTTATCACAAATAACGTGGCTCTTTTTGTGATTCGTCAGAACGGAGATCTCATGCACGCAGCAGACAGAGTGGGTTCCCAATTGCCTACCATATCGCATCCTGCAGCTCCATGTCAGTTTGGGCATCCCTGTCAAATACACTTGGAGGAAATGCTTACCTAGTCTGGCCGATGCCATTGAGGAGAAGTACGGCGCGCCTGTGTAGCTATAACATTCCTCTCAGTTTGTTGCAATGCGAATGTTTGGTTTGGGGGCAACGAACTCTAAAGAGCCTCCGATGACTGCAACGCGTCCATGCTGTCCTAGATTGATTGTAAGTCGAGAGTCGGAGCGCAATGCAAGGGCTGCCAGATTCGAACCTTTGTGGAATTGCTCCAGCATGGGCGGCACCATCTTGCGCGCCTTCTTGAGAAGGACTTTGGAAGAGGCTGATACATGATGGACAGACTCCATTTTTGCTGTGACCAAATGCAGTGAGTGAGCCCGACTTCTAAGGAATGATTGACAACAATTCGATGTATTGGAAGCAGGTATTGTATTTTGCGATTAGAAGGTGAGCTGATGTGGTTTAAAGAGACGGCGGTGGAGGGAGCATAAAAGTGATGTCACCGCCTGCAGGTGGGGCTGATTGAAGCAATGATAAGAAATCCGGTCCGTCCATGCAAGGCCAATCTGTTACTCGGTATTTTCTTGTTCAACAATGACGATTGCATTGGTAATGGCTCAATTCTATTGCAGAGTCCGGGTCCTGAAGTGTGGCCTAAAGCTCGAAGCTCAAACTAGACAACAGCGACGCTCCCCATGATTGTATATAAACGTTGTGATAAAAATATGTGACTCGAAGGAAGACGATTCAACACTCCATCTATCGACACCTTGATGCTCGCTGATGCTCATCGAAACAACTTCAAAGACAGCAAAAGGGCAAGAAAAGAAAGAAAACAGCAACGACATATGTAATGCACCCTCGGGGTATTCCTCGCTGATGCTCCGTTTCCAGGGAAAAAATAAAATCACAAAACACATAGGAAAATGATGGAGTGACAGGGCGGGTCCGCCTATGTGTAGGGAGACCAAATAATAGTCAAATCTTTATTCGTCCATTGTATGCTTCCGCCGCATTATCGACGCGCAGCCAGTGCATTGAGCTTCTTGAGGCGTTCCATTTTAGCCTGCTTGGCTGCCTGTTCAGCATTCCATTCCTCCTCATCCTCGCGCCTGGCTGCTGCCAGAGCAGCAGCCTCTTCCTCCTCCATAGCATCGTAGCCAGCCTCCATATCGGAAGATCCCGAATCGTAGTCATCGTAGTCGTCGGCATAGTCACCCTCGTCTTCCTCATCGGTTCCCAAGTACTCATCCATTCTCGACCGCTTGCTTCGAGACTGGGCCCTGAGGTCACTGGGATTCCGCTTCGCCGGCAAGCCCGCTGTTCCACGATATTCGGGTTGTACAGGACGGGGTGTAGGTCGCGAAGTGCCTTTGTAGGAGAGCTCTTCCGGCTCCCGCTTTTTCACAGGCTTCGTAACGCCAGGTTTAGCACTTCCAGCTGCAGTGGTAGTGGCGCCAGGCTTTTTAGCCGACCGACTCTCCTTCTCTTTGGTTTGAGCTTCTGTCGCTCGTTTCTTTCGTTCTACCTTGCTAAGCTTCTCCTTAGCAGCAGCCTGATGCTTGAACATACCCACCTGAGTGGGGGTCTTTTCTTGTAGCGCCTTGGCTTTGGCCATGAGATCTGCAAAGGAGCCTTTGGGGGGTGGCTTCGAGGACACCTGCGCTGATCTTTGAGGCGTGGATGAGCGACTTGTGGAGGCGGACGCCACGGCTGCTGTGGGAGCACTGGGACGTGCCTTTCCAGCTGCGGGGATTGTGGGCTTAGGGGCGGTTGATCTGAGAGGTGCTAGAGGTGCCAATTTTGACGAACGTGGCAGCGGCTCGTCGGCTTTGCGCTTTATCCCCTGCGAGAGGGGTTTCCGTTCTGTTGTTGGGGGAACATTCCGTGGTCCAAGACTGGTCTTGCGTACTTCGGTTCTGACAGTGGAGGAAGTGACAGGTGGCGATACGGTGGAGGAGACTTGGGGGATTGGGGACGGTTTGCCCGTCTCGATGGACGAGAGAACAGAATCGAGAAACTGGCATGATTATCAGTAACGGCATCGGCGAGGGTCAAGGATGAGGTTCCGTACACTCATGATGAATTTTCAGATGAGAGAGAAATGGGTTTGATCAGAGGTGGTGTCAAAAAACCCAGACAAGGATGCGAACAAAGAGGGCTTCACCGTCGGTGGTTAGTATGACGGGGTAACTTCATGACTTCGTTGCGGAGCCACTTTAAAGATTCGATAGAGTTCCAAGCCGGAAAGTGCCACTCTTCAAGATCTCCGGCAAGACATGGGATACAGACAAAAGGAGTGAAATATGCAGCCAGTGCGAACTGTTACCACCTCCGAGAGTACCACGAGGAGGTCGTCTGGATAAGGCCGCCGGGCAAAAACGGTTGCAAGAAGTCAGTCGCCATCCCATCGTCTGAAAGGCAAGAGAGCCACGTGACCGTCGCATCGAACCTCGCTTTTGGACACCCAAGGCATCAATACAGGATACCCGCCTGCGCCACAGGTGCTCGCTTAGCGGGAACTAGCACGCAGGCCCACGCGCCACAACCCACCAGCCGCAACGCACTTTTCTCGATTTTAGACGATTCGGTTCTGACTTCTTCTTCTTCTGTCCACTACCTCGCAACCCGACGTCTCAGTCTCCGCCCAACTTCGCGGTTAAATCGATTGATTCTCGTGTTCGGATTCTATCCAAGAATATCTGTAAGTTCTTTCTACAAGACGCCTTCTGACTTTCTGTGTGATGATCTCCGCGCATTCTGCAATATCGAGAATAGTGATCTAACAATTTTCTTTTCACTTGGTTCAGATTCAAAATGAAGCACCTCGCAGCCTACCTCCTCCTGTCCCTCGGTGGCAACGCCAGCCCCTCCGCTGAGGACATCAAGTCCGTCCTCTCCTCCGTCGGTATCGATGCCGATGAGGAGCGCCTCACCAAGCTCATCTCCGAGCTCGAGGGCAAGGACCTCCAGGAGGTTAGTTTTGCGCCCCCAGATTGATAGGACCGTTGCGCACCCAAGGGAGACATCGACGCTAACAAGATTTTTTCTGCTACTACAGCTGATCGCTGAGGGTGCCACCAAGCTCGCCTCCGTTCCCTCCGGCGGTGCTGGTGCTGCCGCCCCCGCCGCTGCTGCTGGCGCTGCTGCCGGCGGTGACGCCCCCGCTGAGGAGAAGGAGGAGGAGAAGGAGGAGTCCGATGAGGACATGGGCTTCGGTCTCTTCGACTAAGCGCCTCGCCTCCGCCGAACATCGAGAAAAGCAAATCGGTTCGTGGGGGAATGGGAATCTGGCGGCGACTGTTTTCAGACTTGGGGGGAAAATTGCCCGTTGGTCTGGCCAAGCATGGATGCATCAGGCTTGCCTGATGCCGTCGCGAATCTTGCATAAGTAAGCTGAGAAAAGCTTTTTAGCCAATATAGATTCTCTGACCTCCCGATTGATGACCCATTCTCGTGATTTTAAAAGTAATGCGTAGTGAAGATCTGGATGTAGAACTAGGGGCTAGCTACGATATAGCCGTATCTAACCTCTCTAAAGACGTTGAATAAGTGATCTGGCTCTGGCGACACTGGTATCTTTACGATCATGCATGATTACGGATATAGACTGCGACTCTCGGCGAAAGCGATACAAGGGCCCGCAAAAACCATGCCAATGATACGGATGGCTATCAAGATTACCCCATATGTATCAATCTCGCAGGAGAAGCCAAAGGCGGTCGGCCCTATAGATGGGTTCCCGAAGCGGACTAGCGGGGAATAGGGTCGCAACCCTAGACTAGTCGCTTAGACGAGGCGGCAGCCCACCTCCCGACCGCAGCGTAGAGGCACAAGAGACGCCCGACGAACGTTCATCGACACGACACGACAACCTATATTCCTTCGCTTTTCGAGTCCCGTTCGAAAAGCGACCTTGAGAGGAACACCCGCAAAAATGGCCGACGAGCACTACGTGAGTACTCCTATATGATATTGAAGGGTCTAGCCTAGTAGGCAGGGGGACAAGGGAACTATTGACTGACTTTTCACTTGCAGAACGCCGAGGAGGCTGCCGGTACGTTGAACTCGAAATACCTCCCCTTTTTCTCTTCCCATTCCTGTCGAGCACGATATAAGAACGCGGTATCGGATATACAAAGGAATCAGTTATGCGACAAAGATGGAAACGATATGGATGTGACTTGTGTGGTGATGACTGCGGATGGCGGACGATACTGTCGACAAATTTTCTCCTCGGGAACGCTTTGACGAACACGATGCACAACACGATGCACAACTCAAATGGATCAGCCCACTGACGTATATTCGCACGAACAGAGATCAAGAGAAAGAGACAGTTCCGCAAGTTCTCCTACCGCGGTATTGACCTCGACCAGTACGTTACACCATAAATGCACCAACTTCACCGATCCATTTCCCCCCTGGGCCTCGACTTCGACCGAGCACCACAAGCGCCTTGTTCTACACGGACCAATTGCGACATTTCTCGGTCGCAAAAGTCGAAGCTCAGGGAGTTGTGTGTCAAATTGATGGAGAAAGAATGGAATCTGACTCGGATCACCATATAGGCTCCTCGACCTTTCCTCCGAGCAGCTCCGTGATGTCGTTCACGCCCGTGCCCGCAGACGCTTCAACCGCGGTCTGAAGCGCAAGCCCATGGGCCTCATCAAGAAGCTCCGCAAGGCCAAGCAGGAGGCCAAGCCCAACGAGAAGCCCGACCTCGTCAAGACCCACCTCCGTGACATGATCATCGTCCCCGAGATGATCGGCTCCGTCGTCGGTATCTACTCCGGTAAGGAGTTCAACCAGATCGAGGTCAAGCCCGAGATGGTTGGTCACTACCTCGGTGAATTCTCCATCACATAGTACGTCATCCGCCCGTCTCCAGATATCTATATGCATGTGTATGGTTCATGGTCTAACACCCGCACAGCAAGCCCGTCAAGCACGGTCGTCCCGGTATCGGTGCCACCCACTCTTCCCGTTTCATTCCCCTCAAGTAAAGAAGAAAAGCTTTTCTCTGGGGAGTTGTATTGGAGGATTTGGGCGTACGGAAGTGCTGGGAGAATCTACGAAAAAATGGATGGATACCATATGCATTTCTCTGGGTTCATCTAGTTGTATGTCAAATGCGGGTCAGCTGTTTGCATCTCAATATAAAGGTCTTGTCGGCATGAGAACGAACCAAAACCCGGGAGTCTTCGGAATTCTCTCGATGATGGAGATATCCCAGGGCCTCAGTTTCTTTTTCTGGGACTGAGGCCGCAGACTTTTGTTTTAATCACGGAGCGAAAGTCTAATTTAACGAATTCACCTTCAACAACTTCAACAACTCCTCATATCATTCCTTGTAGATCACCACCACCCATAGATACTCTACCTTGGCGTATCCTACCCCCCCCCCCCCTGCCCCCATATCTTCAACTACACTTTCCCATCTAAGATCCACTCAACCAATCTGCCCACCTTCCCAAACTCCTCCCTGATCTGTCCCTCCATCCGCCTCGGATCCAACCCCGCCGCCGCAAACTCCGCCTGGACCTGCCCGAACAACCCCCCCACCAACCCCTGGAACCCCGGCACCGCACAACTCCTCCCCTCCAGCGCGACTAACCGCCGCAACACCTCCCACAGCACGAGACTGAAATTCACCTCGAACCGCTCCAGCGCCACCTCATCTTCGCCGCCGTGCGTCACCTCCACCCCCTGCGACAGCAGCACCGCCAACCGCGCCAGCGCCCACGCATGCACCAGCCGGATCGGATGGATCTCCCGCGGGTACACGGCGGGGTCGATGCGGAGGTACCGCACCGCGGCGTGCGCAAAGGCGGCCTTGTAGCGCTGGCGGGCGAGCAGGGCGGCGATCAGTTCGTCGCGGAGGGAGACGTAGGGCTGGGTTGTGATGCGGGTTGGGGGGAGGTTCTGCAGCACGGTTGAGATGTCGGTTGCCAGGTCGTTGGGGGCAGGGAGGTGAGGTGTAAGGTCGGAGGAAGAGTCCGAGGATGTGCGAGAGAGGAGGGCGTAGGCTTGTGTTTCTGCTGCAGCGGAGTCTGTAGGTCCTTGTTCGTCGTTCCCTTCGTCCCCCGGCTGCTCGCATCTCGTGCACCGGCAGCGGAAGTAGTACCGCTCGCGGAGCTCCTTCTGCCGCAGCGGGCGCGGGTTGGTGGTGTCGACGTAGGAGATGAAGATCTGGTCGCCCTGGGCGATGGGCCGGATGGCTTTGACGTACAGCTCGTCGCCGTCGAAGCCGACGACGGCGTTGTAGTCGCAGCTGTGGTTCATAAGGGCCGCATACGGGTGCAGGTAGAGGCCGATGCGGTCGTACAGTGCATTGGTTAGGTTGAAGGAGTTGAGTTCGAGCTTTTCCAACATCCGTCAGCTTCCTGCTTCTTTTTTCCCTCTTTCCCTCTTTCTCTTTCTGGCTATGCTCCGCCAAATGTAGGGGGGCCTTCAGAACGTGGGGAACAAGCAAAGGGTATTCACCTTAGCACCATAAGCCGAAATCACCTCTTCCTTCATCTCCACCCCCGAATAAGCTTTCACAGCCTTCGAAGAGATGGAGATCCGCTGCCATTGCGCGGGGTTCTCCTCCCGGATGTCCTTGATATGCGTCTCGAGCTGCCGAAACAGCTCCACCTCCTGCGGGGGGTACTTCTGTCGTTCGCTGCGCAACGCCATCCGCAGCACGGCTCTCGCGTTGATGGGGAGGATCCGTGGACGGAGCTTCTGGAAGATGGCGCATTCGAGCGAATGCGCGAACTTCCAGTCCTTGGCTTGACATGTCTTAAACAATAACAAACGTGAGCACAAGCTTAAGCTGCAGGATAGAAAAACCAACCCTATCGCAGTACTTCACGATCTGGCATCCGGTGCAGCCTTTCAGGCGTCGGTCGTCGTTCTCGAGCTGTCTTCTTCCCAAGCACCCAGAGCATACTTCGCCCAGCTGGTGGGTGTCTAAGACTGCCACGAAGGGTATGGAGATGTGCAGGACGTCTTGTCCGGGGTTGATGTCGGTCGCAGCGAAGAGACCTCTTCCTAGACCATCTGGAGCGATGGAGGGTGTGGTCCTTTCGGGGGTAACAGGAGCAGGGGCCGCCTCCTTGGACATCTTTATGCCTTTGTTGTACGCGACGTTCTCGGTTGTTGCTGTTCCTCGGCTGCTGCAGATAGTTAGCTCCAGTGATTAGATCCGAGGGTATTGCTGGGCTTGAGCAAACAACAAACAAAAAAAGATTGCCGATATTTTGATCCACTCTAGCTCTGCCACGGAGCTCATTGACAACCCGGCTTTTTACATCTAGATCATCGTCCAGCAGCAAACTTTTTGTTATTCGGATTGTTACCGTGACCCATAGATTAGTCATATAGTGTCCTTCCACAGCACATCTTACATGTTTAAACCGGAGAATTACCCATGTAAAGATCCAAAGTAGAGAGATTATTGTTCAAATAACAACTAAAAATACAATTTTTAATGGGAAAGCCGACTCACTAAATCCTTCACCCTTGCACAAGGCCTTCTTACGAAAACTATGAATAAGCAAGGCATGGGCAACACAGCTAATGATCCACAAAACCAATCAAAAGTACATGAACGTATTCATCGTATCGTCTTTTTCAAGACGAAGCAGAACCCCCCTCCATACCAGGGCCAGTAAAACATCATATCTATCAACATGGAGCCTTATCCGCTACGCCAAACACGGCGGCTTGAGGGTGCCTAGGAAGACACTCATCCAAAAGCCGCAATTAGATCTATAAAGAAAACTTTTTGCGTCCCTTTTTTCCTTCACTACCATGAAACTTCGTTTACAGCAGCTTTCCGCCAACGAAGTCGGACCAGGTGCGAACCTCAGCAGGAATGCCTTCCTTGCGGGGCAGCTTCTGGCTCATGGCCTGGGCGAAGAGCAGAGCAGTCTAGGGGAAATTGGTTAGACACTGTATGAATAGTCAAATGTGGGTCAGGATCGTACGTACCTTGGTCTCCATGAACAAGGGGACACCGAAGTCGACAGCGTTACGTCTCATAACATAATCTTCGTCAAGGAGAGTCTTGCCACGGGTCTTGGCAAGGTTGAAAGTACCACGGATGTTGTACTTCTGGAAGACCTCGCGGAGGGCACGCTTGTCCTCCTTGGGGAACTCAATCACCTGCACGGCGACACCGGCAGCCGACTCGAGGTGCTTCTTGACAGCCTCGCTAGCAGCGAAGAAGTTGAAGCCCAGAGGCTGGAGGTACTCCACAATCTGAGACAGGGCAGGGTTGGTGATGTCACCGCCGAGCAGGATACCCTCACCAGGCTCGGGAACACGGAAGTTCATGGTAGACTGAAGAGAAGCCCAGTAGGCCTCAACAACGTCCTTACCGAAGCAGGCAATCTCACCAGTACTGGCCATCTCGACGCCCAGGAAGGGATCGGCACCAGCCAGACGAGTCCAGCTGAACTGGGGAACCTTGGTAGCAAGGTAAGGGCGCTTGACGCTCATGAGATCGACAGGCTCAGGAACGTCACGTCCAACAAGGGCCTTGGTAGCAACATCAATGAAGTTGGTTCCCAGAACCTTACTGGCGAAGGGGAAGGAGCGAGAAGCACGAAGGTTGCACTCAATGACCTTCAGCTCAGGCAGGGCACCCTCAACATCGGCCTTGATGATCTGCATGTTGAAGGGACCAGTGATGTTCCAGGCCTTAGCGACCTTCTCAGCGATCTCCTTAACGCGGCCCATGACAGACTCGTCGAGGTCGGCAGGAGGGAGAACAAGAGTGGCATCACCAGAGTGAACACCAGCGGGTTCAACGTGCTCACTGACAGCGTGAAGCAGGAGTTTGCCGTTGGAAGCAACGGCGTCAACGTCAATCTCCTGAGCTCCTTCGATGAATTTGGTGATAACGACAGGGTGGTCAGGCGAAACAGCACTGGCGTTGAGGAGCTTCTCCTTGAGCTCATCGACGCTGTAGATAACGTTCATGGCAGCGCCAGACAGGACGTAACTGGGACGGACCAAGACAGGGTATCCAACGGACTCAGCAAAACGCTCAGCCTCAGCAACGGAAGTGAGCTCCTTCCAGGCGGGCTGATCGACACCGATGCTGTCCAAGATCTGGGAGAACTTGTGTCTGTCCTCGGCGCGGTCAATGTCCTTGGGGTCGGTACCGAGAACGTGAGCACCGCCAGTCTCCTGCAGACGGAGAGCGATGTTCTGAGGAAGCTGACCACCGACGGAAACAACGACACCACTGGCGCTCTCGAGCTCGTAGATATCCATGACACGCTCGTAGCTGAGTTCCTCAAAGTAGAGCTTGTCAGCGGTATCGAAGTCAGTAGAGTAGGTCTCGGGGTTGTAGTTGATCATGACAGTCTTCTTGCCCATGTTGCGCAGGGAGAGAGTAGCGTTGACAGCACACCAGTCGAATTCAACAGAGCTTCCAATACGGTAGACACCGCTACCCAGGATGATGATTCCGTGATCATCGAAGGTGACATCGTGAGAGGTAGCGTTGTAGGTAGTGTAAAGGTAGTTGGTGTCAGCAGGGAACTCAGCGGCAAGAGTGTCAATCTTCTTGACCCAGGGCCTGATACCGAAAGACTTGCGGCGAGCACGGACATCATCCTCAGTAGCGCCAACAAGGAGAGCGATCTGCTTGTCAGAGAATCCGAGCTTCTTGGCCTTCAAAATGACCTCCTTCTGGAGACCGAAGAGGCTGCCAATCTCCTTGAGCTCATTGTTGCAGTCCACAATGTTCTGGAGCTTGTAGAGGAACCACTTGTCAATCTTGGTCAGCTCGTGGACACGGTCCACGGTGTAGTTCTCGTGAAGCATAGCCTGGCCAACAGCCAACCAGCGGCGGTCGGTAGGGTTCTGCAGAGCATCGTCAAGGTTCTCGAACGCATCGCCCTGGAAGCCAACGAAGCGAGGGTCAACCTGGCGGATGGCCTTCTGGAAGGACTCCTCGAAGGTACGACCAATAGCCATGACCTCACCAACAGACTTCATGGCACTGCCAATATCTCTCTTCACGTGCTGGAACTTGCTCAAATCCCACCGGGGGATCTTGGTGACAATGTAGTCGAGACTGGGTTCGAAGTTGGCAGTAGTTGTCTTGGTAACAGCGTTGGGAAGCTCAGGAAGGGTGTGACCCAGACCGATCTTCGCAGCAGTGTAGGCGAGAGGGTAACCGGTAGCCTTGGAGGCCAAAGCAGACGAACGAGAGAGACGAGCGTTGACCTCAATGACACGGTAGTCAAGACCATCGGGCTGCAGAGCGTACTGAACGTTACATTCACCCACAACTCCCAAGTGACGCACAATCTTGATGGCAGCAGTGCGGAGCATGTGGTACTCCTCATCAGACAAGGTCTGACTGGGGGCAACAACGATACTGTCACCGGTGTGAATACCAAGGGGATCGAAGTTCTCCATGTTACATACAGTGATGCAGTTGTTGGCCGCGTCACGAACAACCTCATACTCAACCTCCTTCCAGCCACGGAGAGACTTCTCAACGAGAATCTGGGGAGAAAGAGTCAAAGAACGAGAAGACAAGTTCCTCAGTTCCTCGGGGTTGGCAGCGAAACCGGAACCGAGACCACCCAGAGCATATGCGGAACGGACGATGATAGGATATCCAACCTGCTCAGCAGCCTTCAGGGCATCGTCAACGGTGCTGACGGCAATGGACTCAGCGATAGGGATGTTGATCTCGTTAAGAGCCTTCGAGAAAAGGTCACGATCCTCACTGGTCTCCAGGGTCTTGATGCTGGTTCCAAGAACTCTGACACCATAACGCTCGAAGATACCCATGCGGTTCATTTGCACACCAAGGTTCAGAGCGGTCTGACCACCGAAAGAAAGGAAGATACCATCGGGTCTTTCCCGCTCAATAACGTAGGTCACATACTCCGGAGTGACCGGGAGGTAGTAAACTTCATCTGCAAGCTTGTGATCCGTCTGAATCGTAGCGATGTTGGGGTTGATCAGGACCGACTGCACGCCGGCTTCCTTGAGAGCCTTCAAAGCCTGGGAACCTGCACGTTGAAAAGCTAAGTATTAGTCACCTCATTTCACAGGTATTGATAATGAAGATAGGCCCTGCATGACAGTGCGGCGCTTTTGAGCCCACAGCCTGGCAGTCAAACTTCACTGTTGAAAGCCAATGCAACATGAACGTACCGGAATAATCGAATTCTCCGGCCTGTCCAATGCTCAGACCACCACTACCGATGACCAAGACCTTCTTGACATCGACCAGGTTGCTGCCGGGCTTCACAACCCCACTGGCCAGGTAGCTGTCGGCGGAGGGAGCATTCGAGGACTCCGAAGCCAAGCGACGAAGAGCACTGGAGAAAGAGCGCAGCTGCTGTGGTCGCCACGGAGAAGGCGCCTTCGCCAATCTGAGACTCGAAGCCGTCGAGTGAGCCGTGGTCTGAGAGGAGAACGGGCGCAGAGCGAGGGCCGATCGACGGGATTCAGCCAAGCATCTCTGACGCAGGAGGGCGGACGTAGCCTGCCCGCAACGAGCGGCGAGAACCATTGCGCGCTGCGCTGATGGAAGCGAAAATTAAGGTACGAGGATGGGGGGGGAGGGAAGGGAGGTGCGATGAGTCAATTGAGAGAAATACACTCTCAATTGCTGGTCTGGAGGTTCCGAACAAGGACAAACCTGGAGACTCCGCTTTTTTTATCCGGCTCTCCTTGGGGTTGGTAGTGTCCCGCTTTCTGCCACACGCCCAAGTCACAAGGGGAGGACTCAAAAGGGAGGGTAGATGTCCCGACAGGATTGTCTAGGGAGGGAGAGAGAAGAGATGTGAAGACAAAGAAGCAAAGAGAGGAAGAGAAGGGATGAAGCGGAGGAGACGAAAGAAAAAGGCTCCGTCGGGAAAGGCGATGAGTCAATGCGGCACTTCTCCTCTGAAGGAGGGAGTCATGAACCAGCGCCAGTGGAATTGCAGTGGAGAGACCCGAGTGAGTCGACCACAATTCCCGAAAGTACAAAAAACTCCCCCAACATTCAGGGCCGATAAGAGCTCCGGTGTGCGGAGCCCTTTTTTTTTTTTTTTCCTCCTTCTGTGTTAGAGGCAAGGAAACAGCCACTGAAACGCTGGCCGATCTCGCCTTCTTAGTGGCCAATGACCTCACCGCTCCCATCACTAACCAATCAGCAAGTGCGAGGGTCGGCAAC